TGGGTAGTGACTGGTCGCTTCTATGTTTATAACTGTTGTTTCTCTCATCATTTTTTCGCGGTGTAGTACCATCACATTCTCTCCGTTTTGTCTGGTATTTTACCATCACATTCTCTCCCCTTCTTTCCGGTGTTTTACCATCATATTCTCTTCCCTTTTGTCTGGTGTTTTACATTCACATTCTCTCCCCTTTTGTGTGGTATTTTACCGTCACATTATTTCCCCTTTTGTCTACTGTTTTACCTTCACGTTCTCTCCCCTTTTGTCTGTTAATTTCTCGTCTCATTCTCTCCCCTATTTTAATCTTGTATTTCTAACGTGAAAGATTTTGTTTGATCGCCACTTGAGCTGGGTCGATCGATCTAAATCGATTGTTTACTTTCGTAATCCAATAAAAACGGTTAGGTTTAAGGCACTCGAGTAATATTTACTCTATAATGTGAAGCTGCAGTGATTGTTCAGTTTACTCTAATGGGTAAATAATAATTATCATTAAAAAAAAATTAAAAAACCCACGTTTTCTGATTGAACTAAAAAGTAGATCAGTAAGCCAGAAGAGGGAAAGTACCAAACCTTGTTTTTATCAAATTACAATTACTAGGTTATGTCCCTTTTTTGTAGAAATCAATAGGAGTCTAAAATGATCAATAAAATTTTTCCATGGATCAATTTAGTAATAATAATAATTGAATATTGTATTGTCATCGGAAACAAAGCTTCCCTGAAAATTTCAGCGCGCTAGCTAACTGGGAAGTGCCCGAAATTTTGATTCCAAAATTTGATGGAAAGACAAACAAACAAACAAACAGACGCGAAAGCAAGTTAAAGAAAACGTGGGGGGAAAATGTCACCGTTCGATATCCACACACCAGCTTGTAAAGTAAAGGAAAAACAAACGTGTATCAGTCAACGTTCCCCCACCCTTACACTATAACTAGTTTGTTTATCTACCCTCACCCTCCCTAATACTATTTATATCAAACTAGATTTCATAGATCAATAAACATAAAAAATAGTTCACCAACAAAAACATCTTTAGTTTGTAATGTAACCATGCTTTAAGTAATGCGAAATATTCCTTTAAAGTTGTTTTTAAAAAATATGAAGGAAGACATCAAAGAACTAGAAACAAACACTGGATTGTTTGGTGTGGTGTTGACGTTATTGTTGTTCAAGAAAATCTTGTTTCGTTCTCGCAATCTACCGTCCTCTCGGAGGTTGGTAGGTTGTTGTTGTTTTTTTTTCACGGCTCACTCCGGTGGTTTTGTTTACTTGTGGTGTTTGCTGTTTTCTGTGTTACGTGGGCGATAATTTCAATGTGATCTTCCTTGAACTGTTGGTTATAATGTGGATCAGCTAATTTACGTGTTAATTTCAGGATGTAAGTAATATTAAATTAGTTGATTTAGTTTTCTATAAGGCCTTAACTGGTATGAGTTTATGTATATTTTTTTATTATTTTTAAAACGTACTAAAACGGTTTTCGATATAGCGGTTCAAGTTCCATTCGTGAGCGATTCCAGACGTATTGCACGGCCCTGGGTAACTGACCCATTAGCCCTGGGTAAGTGACCCGTGAACAGTTCCAGATGACCCTGGTTAAGTGGCCGCTAGTGAGCGTGGATAAAAAGTCGACAATCGACATAACTGTTTATCCCTCTTTGTTTAAACAGACGAACTCTACTTCTTCCACCCAATGAAACACCCGAAACCTTGCCCTACGTTCCACTGTAGCCCTACATATTTGTCATTAACAGCCACTTTTATCTGTTATTAAACTCAGCCTTGCTCAAGTCAACACTTTCTGCCGGTGAGTGAAGCACAAGGAACCCTACGCGTTAAGATAAACCTCCATTAAATCCCTAACGATATATGTTGACAATGTTACCCTAACTAAACCACTAACACTAACATGGGATTTATCTCTAATCAAAACTGCCATTTATTTCCTTAATAGCCCTTAAGAGAGGTACACAAATCTGTTAAGACTTGTTTAATCCTGTCTCTCACTTTGCTACCCAGATCGTTACACTGTTTTAATTGTTTTGTATGTAATCGAAACTTACACTGCTGTTTATATAAGCACTTAATTTCAGCTGGTCCCTTTATGGGTGTCGATGTATGCCCAGATCGTTAACAAATCGACACGGAACAATGCAGAACTCAGTACACGTGTTCTTAAGTTTTATTGGGTCATTATATAAAAATATTGATTAGTGTTCTGAACATTGGGGAGGGGGGGGGGGCACTAAAAAACTATTTGGGTGCATTTCGGTCACGATATGATAATACAAAATACAGTATGTGTGTACTGATTGGTAAACAGATTCATTATGTAGATCTATAGACGTTTATTATTATATGTGGATTATCTAGATATGTAGATATGTCTGTACATGTGGATAATCTAGACTGTAAATTTGTTTCTTTACATGTGGATGATCTATAGTTATAGACGTATGTCCTTAATTGCGGATCATCTAGATCTATATAAGTGTGTCCATACATGTGGATTATCTAAATCTTAACCTCAGCCATTCCTTATTACCATCCTAAATATGACCGATTAAAGAAATCATTTTGGTGAATTACGTCACGCTATCCCACATATATCTACCCTCGCCCACTAAACAAAGACTATTTAAGCTCTCCAATTTGTAGATATGTACCCCCCCCCAACTTATCTTATCTTTCACTAAGTCGCCCACGTTGTACCATCGCACTAAGCGGTACCTGAATTTTTGTTTTACCTTGGCCGATTAACCATCCAATTAAAAATTACCTCTGGCACCCCCACGTGACCTCGACCTTTGACCAGAATTTTATATCTCTTACTCCTTAATTTATCTGAGCTAATCTTCTCTCTGGCACCCATACGCTCAATGTTTCCGCTTCACTGGCTTCATGCCGGTACCTTTGTATGTCGTAACAGTATCCGAATTCATGTAGCGGATCCACCAAGGACGCAGCTGGTACCATCTATTCTAGAACTACTGTCAGCCCGCCTGGTTTTAAGTATCTCTCTGTCTTTTGTTGCCTGTTGCTTCAGTCTGTTATTCTCGGCGCATCGTTAACAATGAAACACGGCAGGGGAGATGTCAAGTCAATGCGTTTGATTGGTTAAATCAGGTTCAAAATGAACTCTTCTTGAAGTAATGTTTCACTGGCTTGAAACTTGATGTCCGAGGAATTGTTTCAATGAACGTTTGACTTGTACTTATGTGTTTTCGAGGAGCTGTTGACTTCATGTTGATTGCGAATCAAAATATTTTCGTTGGTATTCACGTACTGTATAGCTTTCTAAGGAACAGATTTATTTTCGTAAGTTGTTTCGTTTCGTTATATATTAGCCGTTTTAGTTTTTCAAGTTGATTCAAAGTCAATTATTGTTTTCATTAGACGTTAATTTTATACAGGTGGGAGGGGGAGGATGACTAGACTGTCCCCGTGTCCGATAATGTAATTTCTTACAGGTGGGGGGGGGGGGTAGGGATGACTAGACTGTCTCAGTGTCCGATAATACGTTCTGTATAGCTAACCGAAGTTTAGAAAAATAACAGAAATGCTGCAATTATCCAACCACATTACCTCTTGCAATGAACCAACCACATTACCTCTTGCAATGAACCAACCACATTACCTCTTGCAATGAACCAACCACATGGCCTTTTGCAATTAACCAACCACATGACCTATTTCAATAGTATTAGACTTAGAGTAAACAGATCAACTCGTTCTCTAGGTCTATCTGCCGTGACTTCTAGCAAGGACGATTTGACTTTAATACCGATTCCAAATAATTTCAGCACTACAGGCAGTCAGGATTTTTTTAAAAATTGTATTGCATCAACTTATCTCAGTGTTTCTTAACCCTTTTGCTGGTACCGAACCCCACCAGTTTCAGATGTGCATTCAGCGAATCTTTCTTAATAATTCTATCGTCCGCACTGACAAAATCCGATCGTGTTTGTCTTGACCCCAGCCGAAACCCTGAGACCGGCTCACTGAACCCCTGGGGCAGAGTTTCTTCCAGGCATCTCTTCGGAGAAAGTCTGGCGCCCCCGCCCCCCCCCCCCAAAAAAAAAAAGTCAACCGCCCCCCCCCCCCTCGAAAATTTCAAGTGGACCCCCCCCCCCCCCCCCGGAGAAAAAAGTCTGGAAGAAACACTGCCCTGGGGTTCGATCTAACCCCGGTTAAGAACCACTGACTTATCCACTTTGTATACAGTAGGTTCCCGTGGTTTACGAAGGCGTTAAAATTTCCGGACAGTTTTATTTGGTGAGCTAAAATCTTGGAGTCAGTCAGTCTGTGAAAGCAACTGTCTGTTTCGTTGATTTGTTTGTTTTATGTGGCCTCGGTTACTGGATGATTGGCGGCTTAACTCTCTCTTGCTGTTGTTGATTTTTTTTTTACTTTCAGTGCATAATGTTGTTAAAGCGCTACGAGAATATTAGAATGTATCTATAAAAATAATGCTAGATGTGTTTGAATCGTATAATTGATCTTGGAATCTTATCAAGCACCGCGGAATTATTGTGTTGTATTGAGGGTTTTGTGTTTAGCCTTTATGTTAGTGCCAGGATTAGGATTAGGGTCGGCAATGAGGTGGGGGTTAAAATTAATGAGGTAAAGAATATGATCACGGTTAGGATAGGGATACGGTGGAAAATTGTCTCGCACGCGTACTACCGGTGTTTGGAATAACCCACTCATGGGGAATAACCCAGTCTTGTTTAATTTAACTTCAACAGTTCGTTTCCGAGTGGTGAGACTTTGAGTTGCATTGATATCAGGTCACCGCTTGCTCGCAGTTGTGTCACCACTTGCTCGCAGTTGTGTCACCACTCACAGTGGTCACCACTCAACGCGGCGTGGTGAGGTTACCACTGCAGAAAGTGATCCCCTCTATACCACGCTTAACGTGCAGATGTTTTAGAGTTGATTAAAAACTTTGCTAATGAATGTACAACTAATTATTTCAATGTTTGTGTGTTCCACAGCACTGGGAGGGGACCTACTACACACGGCGGAAGAGTGGGGACACGATCCCTTTCCACTGTAAAGTCACGCCGATCCTGGGACCCGCTGGGTAAGTACGACTGGGGGGGGGGGGGGTAATTGGGTTGGGGGGGGTTCGTTTAGTGGGCTTCTAAGGTTAAGAAAGATCATTTAGGCTCAATGTGTAGGCACAAAGTACTGGGCTTTAGATTGGGGTTTAAGGGAGTGGGCTTCAAATTGGAGTTTAAGGTTTTGGTCTTAAAGGTGTGGGCTTTAAATTGGGGTTTAATGATTGAGTATTAAGGAGAAGGCTTCAATCTTAGGCTCTATGACTGAACTTGAAAGACTGGGCTTTAGTGAGAAAGGCTTTGATGTTGGGCCTCAGAGAATGGGCTGTAATGAGTGTTTCATTGACTGCGCTTTTAGAACTGGGCTTTATCGACTGGGCTTTTACGGACCCCTTACAAAAAATGAACTGCTAATGTAATCGATCATCCCTCACACAATTCCCACACACACCCTTTTTGGTCGACCTCCCCACTCCCCCAAACAATCACAATCACCCTGAGCCGAGTTAATGAATGACCCCCCCCCCCTCCCCCAAACAATCACAATCACCCTGAGCCGAGTTAATGAATGAGAATGAACAGCTTGAGGATACATTCTGTGATAAATATCTCGAGGGAGCCAAAACGAGGCTGCGCGAGCTTTTGTAGATTATGTTTGTGATATTACGTCCAAATCTGGGTCACCAACACAAGCTGTGTACTCGGTCACTGTCTTCACACAATCGGCTTACACCGTTCACGTGTTGGATTACATTTTTTTCTTAATCCAGTTGTTGTTAGAATATATCGATAATTGCGTAATACTAGTTTCAAAGAACGCTTTTTTACAGTGTTGTAGCGTGTGGTCAGTGGCGGACTTTTATGAAGGCTGAACAGGCTGCAGTCGGGGGCCTCCGTTAAAAAATTGTTAAGTAGATGTAACTAGATATAAACATTGTAATGATCATAGGGATCCGCACCGGCTTAACCGTTATGTAGGTCGGTTGCGGGGATGGGGGGGGGGGGGGGGTAATCAGGAAGTAGGCCTACTTGATTTATCCAAGTATGAATACGGTGTGTGAAAGCATAGACTACCTTAGTGCTGTTTTGTGTAGATGCGCAGCTTTTGTATTGTAACCGCAGTTACGTTTTTACAGTAATGCATTAGCCTTCTCTGATATTGCGTGCGCATACAATAATTTAAACAATATTTAGGCTACGTTTATTTGATTATGGCGATTCTTGCATATTCGAATGATCGAATTTCGCTGACTATTTTAAAACGAAAACCTACTTCCTGTACGAAACATATTCGGCACAATGTAGTCTAGTTGGCGATTCGTTGATACGGTACTGCTCATAGTTTTAGGTCTACTCTCTAACGCCCCCTCTAGACAGCTCATGATTGGTCTAGGTCAGGTTATATGAGGTGACATCACCGTTCGTTACACACTTGTCTTCATCCGCCCCTAGGCGACAGGCAATATTTTTAGTTTAGCATATCTCCACATTACAAAGGTTAAATTAAACAGGTCTCCTCTTTCATCCTGTACCACATTTCAAATTTAATTAAGAACTAATTTTTCTTTTTTTTTTCGATCTTGTAGTCAAATGACAGCACTATTATTACTACTTTCATAAAATTCGCATTTTAAAATATGAATTTATTAATTTAACTTCTGTATGCTAAAGTTCAATTCGTTTTTGTACTGGGTTACATCAGACACTCTTCTGATATATATTTCAAAATCCGGGTTAGGGCTATACACAGCCCGGTGTACCGAGTTCGTGATTATAGAGCTCCTAGATAAATAGGTCAAAATTATTAATTAGCCATCAGTTTGATTAATTGATTATACACAAAAACCTCACAGAGCCAAAGGGCATATGAGTTACAGCCCTTGCTATAGTTATTATATGTTATTATGTTTTAGGGGTCGTCAATAAATGACGTCACCCTCGTAGGGGGGGGGGGTGGCGGGTTTAGATTGTGTGACGTCACACTTTTGCATTATAAAAAGCAATGTTAGAAAACAAATTGTAGACGTTATTTCGCGTTTTAGAAAACTGTTTTAATAAATTGTATCAGAGTTCAGATAAGATTTTGGAAAACTATCGATGTTTTAAGAAAAATTCAACTGCAATTCTGAGGGGGGGGGGTGTTGTTGGCTGAGGTGTGACGTCATTTTAGGGGGTGGGGGTCTGGCTTTTTGTGACGATGTGTGACAGAGCGGAGGGGGGGGGGGTAAAAATCGTCAAAAAAAGCATGGTCATTTATAGATGACCCCTTAATATCATGGGTTAATTTTTCTATGCTACTGAGTTATAGACATGCCTTGTCAATTACATTTTTTTAATACCTTAGTCTACTGACTGAGCCAAGCCTACTCAGTGAACCAAACCTACAAAACCAAGCTTGGCCCTTAGGCTCAAGTTTATACTAAATTTTAAAAACTAAACTTTAGAGTAACAAATAGACCAACAAAAATGACAAACGTATACACACGTGGCAATTATTTACAAATCATAAACTGTGTGATATGTTCTAATCCTTGAACGTAGTAATATTCTAACCAGAACCTTAAAAATTAGCAATGCAGCTCATTAATGATGGTCTTAAACATGGGAACATTTTCCAAATGGGGTGACATAAATTTTATATATTTTCCTCTGATATGTTTGTTTTTCCCATAACACCCTTGATCTTTTTCCCCATATGCTACCATAGTTTTTATTGCTACCCAGTTCACTATGTGACAGCTCTGGTCAGTGAGTGATTAATTGATCTGCTTATTTTTCCAGGTCCATTTCTCAGTTTGTTTCTGTTAAAAGTCATTCTACAGAGAGTTACAATCAGGTTGTTAATGGTGAGTAGACATTGTTGAATCTTCTCTCTGGAAGTTTTAAAAAGCGTTTCAGGTTTATTATATAAAGGCCAAAAATATATTTTAAATATTTAAAAGCAATATTTTATATAGGGGTGTTTGTTCTGTGATTATATTTTTAAAAATTGTGAACTTGAAGCCTACTAGCTTGCAAAACTAGATATAGACTTACAGAAAAAAAATGAATTTCCAATGAAAGTTCTTTTTATATTTTTTTATCTCCTATGAATAATTTAAAAAAAAAGATTTTGGTAATGGTAGACATCAAAGTTGTAAAAAAAAACAATGAGATCTTAAAAAAAAAATTTAAACATTAACTAAAAAGTTAGTAAAAAGGTTTATAAATGCTAAATACTTAAAAGTATTTCATTTGAGCTAATTTTAAAACTATATTGAAACTGTATATTTTGAGAAAAGATTTGATTTTCATATTTGCCGGCAACATGATGTAAAGCACCAAAAGCTAATTATAAATATTTCATTGTATATTTTCAGGCAATATGATGTCTTTTCCTAGACGACGTGAATCTGTTGTTAGAGCCCATTCTATGACAATCGAAGCTCCCATAACAAAGGTTAAAAACTTTATTAAGGATTTTTTACATGCTTCTACTCTACATTATTTATTGTAATAATTATTGGTGCAGTTAACTGAGATTGCTATGCTATAAAAAACAAAATGTCACGTCTCTAATTTGAAATTGTGTCCTCTTTGACCTCCAGGTCATTAACATAATTAATGCAGCCCAGGAGAATTCGCCCCTGACTGTGGCTCAGGCTCTGGACAAAGTGCTGGAGATCCTGCAGACAAGTGAACTCTACTCCCCCTTCCAGCACCAGGAGATGGGGGAAAATGATGACCCTATGGCCTCTGACCTTGTTGAAGGGCTTATGTCTGTACGTTAAACTTGACCAATTAAACCACAACTTCATTATTTTTTTTTTGAATGTCTCATAACTATAAATTATGTCGTCTAATTTACTGAACTTATTTGAACTTGCATATAGTTTATAGTTTCTTATAAAGCCTACCTCTAAAGTAAAGTTTAAACTGGATAAAGAACACTTAAGTTTAAAGATTTATTAATTAAGCTACACTATTGACTATACACTTGTTTTGTTTATTTTACTTTTTAGTATTGTCATAACAGTTTATTAAACTTTAAAGTAAAAGAGCTTATTTTGAATTTTTCAAACTTTAAAGTAAAAGAGCTTATTTCAATATTTCAACAGCAAAATGTGAAAAGAAAGTTGTCTGGGCATGACATCCAAAGAGCCCGTAAGTCCCATGTTCATATTTTTTAGGATATTACCAAACTATCTTGTTGGTATTGTTAATACTTTGGGTAACTTTTAAATAAACAAAAGCAAAGTTTCAATATGAAATAATTTTTATTTTAATGTCATATTCTGAAAAAAAAGTTGTTGCTAGGTAATAATAAGTCTAGTTGTGGTTAGTAAATTGAAAATTATGAAGAAAACTTAAAACTTCATATATCAATAAATTATTTGCTACTTTTATACACATGACAAATAAATTATAATCTCTAATCTTGCGAGGTGATTAACATTGTATAACCACACCTTTTGCCCTGGTATTAATTGTTAGTTTCCGCAAGGTGTTTTACTAATGATATATTTTTTTCTCCTGCTGTAGTTCACCACAGTCATGGCCATCACCACATTCCGTCCACTCCGGCCTGCTCACTCTCACAGATACCGGAACCCATCATGAATGTGCTCAATCTAGACGTTAGCTGGGACTTTGATATTATCACATTAGAGAAACTTACAAATAAAAGGTTCATTTCATTTAAATCTCAAATCTTTGTTTCAAAAACTAATACACATATCTTGTTTTAAATTTTATAAATTTAAAATACATAGGAGGAGGGGTCTGCTGTAACTGATGTCACACTTTGTTTTGCAGATTATGTTTGCGGTCCAACCACCTTTCCACGTCCTCCCCTCCCCTTCCAGTTTTATTTATCATACAACATAGTCAGAAAAAATCCAAATTCAGATACAACGCCCATCACTCAAAATGATGTTGCACTTTGTCCCTTGAAAGAATTACAAGTTATATTTATTTCAAAATACAATGCCATTCAAAAATATTGGATTGAACTGCTTATTTTTAAAGAAGATATATAGATTGAGGCCAATACATGTTAACCAAATTTAGTTTAAAAATTGTTTAAACCCTCTCCCATACCGTATTCCCTCATCTCAAATGTAATGAAAGTATTAATTAATCCTACCCCCTCGTACTTTTACAAATGTATTATGTCATTTATGGATGAACCCTTGAGCTAATTAGTTTTTCTATTGTTAACTAATTTTCAGTAACGTATTTTCAAAATTTCATGAAAATTTCAATTAAAGAAAAAAACTCATTTTAATATTGAGCTGTCATATTGTAATCTTGATAGATGATTAATCTTGTATCTAAATTCTGAAAAAAATTAACATTCAATTACATTTTTAAATTATAATATTTTTTCTTAGGCCGTTGCTACACTTAGGTCTGAAAATCTTTGCTCGGTTTGGTGTGTGTGAGTATTTAAACATCAATGAAACTTGTCTGGTCAACTGGCTGCAAATGATAGAGAGCAACTACCACGCCAACAACTTCTACCACAACTCAACCCATGCAGCTGATGTGTTGCATGCCACAGCTTATTTTCTAGACAGAGAGAGATCCAAAGTGAGCCAGTGATAAATACTTCTTGTTTACATTAAAACAAGCCTTTATTCTGAGTGAAAAGACCATGATAATTTTAAATAATTAGTTTTTTTCTTCTGTAGAAACACCTATCGTGGATTATCTATAAACTTTGAAATAGAAAGAAAAAGATTTCTATTTAGTTTGAAATCTGAATGTTATTTTTGAGCCAGTGATAAATACTTCTTGTTTGCATTATCCTGAGTGAAAAAACCATAAGCTACACAATTTAAAATAATTAGTTTTTTCTTTGTTAAAAACACCTATTGTGGATTAATTATAAACTTTGAAATAGGAAGAAAAAGATTAGTATTTAGTTTGAAATCTGAATGTTATTTTTGCAGGAGATCTTTGACCAACAAGATCAAGTTACGAGCTTGATAGCTGCTGTAGTTCATGATGTTGACCATCCGGCAAGAACAAATGCTTTCTTAATTAATGAAAAACATCAGTTAGCAATCCTTTACAATGACCAGTAAGTGAAAAAAATGAATCATACATTTCTGTTAAAAAATTGCAAAACCTTAGTCGATTTTCTTTAGCCATTTGTTAATTTATTTATTTTTATAAGTATTACAAAATTAAGAATAGTAGCCTATTATTTTATTAAACTGATTATTTAATTGTATTCTGTATGTTTTGTTATATTTATAAAATATATATTCGACACTGATTTTAAAATGGAAATTGTTACAAACGTGATTTTTTTATTTGAAGAGCTGTGCTAGAGAACCACCATGCCAGTATGTGTTTTAGATTAACTCATAAGGACCAAGCTGTTGATATATTCAAAAACTTAAGCAGGTAGGGAATACAGAGTGATTCTTTTATTTTTACATTAATTGTTTGCAACATTTTTATATGTCCATTTTCTCTTTCATAATTTTCATCTCTTAGAATTACACGGGAAAACATAAAAAAGTTTTCTTTTTATTTATTTTGATTGTATTGATGCACTGAAAATTTATCTCAATTAATTAAAAATTTTAGTGACGACTACAAAACTGTACGACAATCAATAATTGACCAAGTGCTGGCAACAGACATGAAGCAGCACTTTGAACATCTCTCCAAATTCACAACATCAGTCACCAAACATCTGCAGAAGCTGGAAGGGGACAACACTGATGTGAGTGGTTTAACTTTAATCTGGCGTATGACCAGTTTAACTCATACCATCTCAGAGCTTATTGTATGTTAACCTCACACAAATCAGGGCACTGTGCTGACAGAAAGGTATTTCTCATGTTCAGTTCTAATGATAATCTTGTACTAATGGGAAGGTATTTTTAATGTTCAGTTCTAATGATAATCTTGTACTAATGGGAAGGTATTTTTAATGTTCAGTTCTAATGATAATCTTGTACTAATGGGAAGGTATTTTTCATGTTCAGTTCTAATGATAATCTTGTACTAATGGGAAGGTATTTTTCATGTTCAGTTCTAATGATAATCTTGTACTAACAGGAAGGTATTTTTAATGTTCAGTTCTAATGATAATCTTGTACTAATGGGAAGGTATTTTTCATGTTCAGTTCTAATGATAATCTTGTACTAACAGGAAGGTATTTTTAATGTTCAGTTCTAATGAAAATCTACTGTATTGACTTTATGAAATTTCAACTTTAGCAAGCAGGCTCGGCACATTTATTAATGGAATTATAAAAAATCCTTTCTGCAATATTTAAATTTGTCATTATCATTAAGATTCTGAAGTGTGTAATAAAAACACTAACAGAAAAATATGTATTTAAATTTAAAATTTCAGCTGAATACTTTTTTTTAAATTTCAGGTGGAAGCTCATGAAGCAGATATGAACACCATTTTGTCAGATTTATCATTGCACGAAAACCGGGTACTAATTAAGCGTATGATGATCAAGTGTGCTGATGTCAGCAATCCATTAAGACCATTACCGCTATGTAAGGAGTGGGCTTATAGGATCGCTGAAGAATATTGCCAGCAGGTACTTTCTATCAGTTCTTTAATCTCACATTTTTTTCATTACAAAATATTTTTATTGGAAAAATTTATTTTATTTTAAAACATTAAAAATACTTTTAGATATATTGGATGTATTTGTTATATTTCTAAAATAAGAAGCATTAGTACTAAATAGGCCTTCAATATCAATTTTTGAATGTTATTATTTTTAGTCTAATGTTGAATTTAATTTGTAAAAATGAAATATTTTAGACGGATGAAGAAAAGAGTAGAGGCTTGCCGGTTGTGATGGCCCAGTTTGATAGAAAGACATTGAACATCCCCAAATGTCAATTAGCATTCATTAACCTCTTCATTACCACAATGTTTGATGCATGGGATGGTATGTTATTGTTGAACTTTCTATGTGTCTATGCTAAAAATTATTTTAACTTATCTGAAAACCAGGCTATTTTGAGTTTTGAATATTAGTGTTATTAGATCTAATAGTGTAATAGGAAATAATGACTTGGAGAATATTTTTTTTAAGATATTTTTAAACCATTTTTTTATAAAATTATAGATTTTAGGTTAAACTATTTCTTTATCATTTATAAAAATGTGTTTAACAAAGTTTTTTGTTTAATTCTTAAAAAGATCTAATTATTCATTTTATCCTGTTAATTGTCCTGTTCAGAATCAACCTCTCGCAAAATTTTATCTTTCCATATAGACTACTGTTGATTTTAAAATTCCAGTGTACTTTAACACGTTATGTTTATCTTCACAGTGTACTTTAATGTTTTATATGTATTTATCTTCGCAGTGTACTGTGATATTCCTGATCTGATGCATCACTTGCAGCTCAACTATGACTACTGGAAGGCGCAAGAAGTCATGGAAAAAGACCCGTCGGCCGGTCACAATCTGGACAACAGTTAGCTTTCAGTTCTCCTTCTCCTTAGAACAATCAGTTTACCTCAAATGTTTGTACAATTATTGCTCAATAGACAACTGTGTGAATACAGTTTGAAATCCTTTAGAATGAAACATAGTGAGAAGCTGCTGACAAGATTGTGATTTCTCAGGAGTGTGTGAAGTGAGTTATCTCCCATTCCATTGAAGAAAGGGTTATGAACTTTATTTGAAGATTATTAAAAAAAAAATAGCATAAAGACACCTTAGAGAGGACTTTGATCTCAGTTGATTCGTGTAGGGAAAATCTTGAATTATTGTTTGATATTTGACTAAAATAGAGCTGAAGTTGGCTGACTGGCAATGTTGACTCTTTCTGGTTACTACAAAGTGAAGTGGATACAAAATTTGACTTCAACTTCAAGCTAATTTTATTTAATATTAACTCATGTTTCTTTGTTTTTCAACTGTTACCGGTATTGTTTTATATTAGGTTAAGTGATTGTAATTTTACTTTAAAATTTTATCTATTAGGAATGTTTTTCTTCAACTTTATAAAAGAACTTGTCATATTTTGTAAAAAAAAAATGTTTATTTGTCAAACTTGAATTGATAAATATCAAGATGTATTTAATGTTATTTTGTGGGTCTTCACATAAACAACAAAACAACTTAGAATAAGCTTTAGTTGTATAGTTTATGATGTTGTTTTCATGTGTTATAGAATTCTGCGATGATGGCGTCCATGGTTATCAATATTATTTTTCAACTATAAAGTTGAGTACGAAGTGTGTACAAAACTGATGGCGGTTGATATTGTATCATGACTTAAATTTTATTTTGAAATTTCATTTATTTATGTACCTGTATATTTTTGTTGTACTTTATAACCAAAAACAAATTCTGCTTAGTTTTTCTAGCAATGCAAATGGTTTGCCAAGATCTTAAATTAACAAAAAATTATGTTTGACCCCATTATAAATAATTTTCTTTAAAATTAAGCTTGGGCTCAGCTATTTGGGTTTTCATTACAAACAAAAGAAAAAAACTTTTCTTATTTCAAACACTTTCAGCTGAAAACAGAACACATTGTTTTGTAGTAAAATAAAATAAGGATCTTCCATACACTTGTTCTGTTCATTGAAGCTTCCAAGTTTTTTTTTTCATTCTTCCTAAGTATTGTTTTCTATATTCTTCCAAAATACATTTCTCTCCTCCCCTGCTAATCCTAAATCTTCCAAGCTGACTATTTTAGTATTTAGGAACACATCTACATTCTACTGTTCTTTGTTTATGTCTTAAAGTCAGACTTCGTCTTAATTTTAAGACCATCATTTTAAAAAAGTCATTTTGTGCAGAACCAATTTGTATGTTGGGGCTTAACCTCAGTATACAAACAGGTCCCATTACAAAGACAGTTACTTTTAAATGATCTGATGCTTTATAGCAGTCAAACCTAATGCTTATGTTGCTTTGAAAGTCAAAATCAAAGCACGAGAACCTTAAGCAAGTGGTTTTAGTTTTAAAACTCAAATTAAAGTTTTTAAAATTTCCAATGTGAAACAATACTTAATTAACTAAAGTTTCAGTTACATTAATTAAATCTTAAAATAGAAAATTCATCCATGATTATTAGTTCACCATATTGATAAAATTAAGCTAATAATTAAAAAATGAGTCAGTAGGCTATATGAAAATGTAAACTATTATGCTGAGTAGTGTATGATTTATGCAAATTGTTATATAGAGTTGTGACCCTTTTTCCTGCCTCTTTTAAATAGAAAAATAAATAAGATACAGAGTATTAATGTTATCACTATATTAGTCATAATTTAAACAGTAAACTTTTTAATGATGTATGAGAAATCTCTAACTACTTTGTTGAGTGATTAAACTGCTATATGTTGGTCTCTAAGGTTGAGACAGTAGTTGAACTCATGACATTTTAAACTAAGCTGGTCTAATGACAAATGTCACTAATGACAAATTTCCTTAACCATAGCTGTACTAATAGTGGTAAATGTCACTACAGCAGGACTAATGACAAATGTCATGAACTATAGCTATACTAATTATGAATGTCACTACTTTTTGACTAATGACAAATGTCACTAACTATAGCTATATTAATTATGATTGCCACTACTTCTGGACTAATGACAAATGTCACTAACTATAGCTGTACTACTAGTGATAAATGGCACAAACTGCCACTGTAATAATAACAAATGTCATGACTAGAGCAGGACTAATGACATGTTATGACCACAGCTGTACCAACGACATGTCACAACTAAAGTTAGAGTAATGACTAATGTCACAAATTACAACTAGCCTAATGACAAATGTCAAGACAACAGCTGGTCTAATGACAACTGTCACACAACTTCACGTGGCTGAACAAAATTGGTCTGGCCATTACGTGGTGTGAATGCAACTTACTGTACAGCCCTGATAGAGCCTGGATGTATCATTAACATACTGTATAGTAGTCCATTTTTGTAACTATCTTACATTGATATTGTTTTTGTTTTTAAACTTTATTTAAAAATATATGTCCACAACTGTGATTATTGTACGATGTGAATTTGTAGCTGCTTATTCAAATTAGTTTCTTTTATAAAAATGTTTTTGTCCTAATATAAAAATTTCATTGAATGGGCCGTTATATTAAGTATAACTAGATAATGCTGTGTATTGATAATATAGCAGCTATTTGCTTCCCATAAGGCAGATCATGACAGTTAGTCTTTGGTGCCATTCAGAAAACCTGTTACAAACAATTTATGTGAATTTGTGTTATAAATATATAATCCCGTGCACCTTAGAAACAAAACAGCAACATTAAACTTTTAGAGTACTTTTCCCAGATGTTAATTTTCCATCATTTCTGATTCACAATTCTTTCTTATTATTAATTTTGTAAATTATTTTAAAACTTAAAGAATACCAAATTTTCTTAAAAAAGATTTTTGGTTTTGATACCCTGTAACAACTGGGTGAAATTTAGGCTATTACTCATTAGGTAAATAAGAAAAAAATGTATTCTTTGAAATTTTGTCAACTTCTTCAACATTAGACTTTGGTAAGTAGTTACCTCTTAGACTAGGCACCAACACAAAACGAGAGTTGTGACTACCACGCCAGGTTGTAACTGGCATCGATGGCCTTATGAGACTTAAATCACTGTTATGGCCAGATGTCAAAGAAGTTCAGTGTTAACCAACAAAAACTTAAGATACAAATTCTCAAAAGGAAGATTTTTTTTTTTTTAAATTTAACTTTCACCTCAGTATTTTGTATATTACAGAATCCTACTAACCCTTGATATTAGAGATGCTCATTAGCTAATGACAGATTTTGAAATTCTTATGTGGTTATGCTTAGGATATTTACAGATATGCAGTTAATACATTTTTGACAAACCAACTAACTGTCCATGGGAGGAGTTCTTTACCCCTTTACATTGTTTAATCAGGCATCATCAATGTACATAGATTTTTAAAAATTATAGTACTTATAAAATAATTAAACAAATCTTCTAATTCTACTGTATAAAAACTTAATTTTGTAAGATTTATATTCAAACTTAAGTGTGAGTGATGAATGTTAGATGCATCATCTAACTGTAGTAAATGCAGAATTTTTTGCAAGATAAAATTTTAAAAACTATATATATTGATTACACAAAGAAATTTTTTTATAACATGGTAACTAGCCGTTCTCTACGTCTGTTAATTTTCTACCTAGGATACACTGTTTTATAAATATGTCCCTGTATGACCCATGTTCTGTGGCTACGTGTACGTACTAAGAATAGATGTTATGCCATGATCTCATATTTTAATATTGTATGTGTTATTTTAACTACAGCTACATGTCAATGAGTTTAAACTTGTTTATTTACATTTTTTTAAATTTGTAAATGAATTTTTTTTTCTGTTAAGGCCATTTTGTAATATATTTTTTGTACTAGATTGAGGTTTACAATTAACTAAAAAGCATGGTCAAATGATTATTTAGAAGTAACACGTAATATTTTAAAAAACTAAAATACTTTTTTTAGTTAGCACTAAATTTGCTAAAAAATTAAGCTGATCATCCTAGTTTGAAACATTAACTCTCATGCCCACAACCACTTGTACATTTCTTCCCCTTGAGTACAATTTTTTTTTTAATTCTTTAGTTAGAACCTAATGTATAGTTATTTACCAGTTTGCTGAGTTTTAGTTATATCTTTTAAATAATTTAGGATCTGATGTGTTTTGTTAATTTCCAGAATGAAGAAAAAATAAATTACTAACTGTAATTTATGCAACCAACTTTCTAAATGTGGCCTACGTGTCAGTAGGTGAAGATATACAGGGCAAAATGTGATATGTTAATTAGGTCAGACTTTGTGATATTATCAAAGGATTTGTTCATGTGTAAAGTTGACTGCAGGAGTTTTAACATATTTTCTTTACTGTAAAGTTGTCTGTTAAATGTTTCTTTCCTCTTGGTCATGTGACCTAATAGTTTCCGTTTCTTCCTCTACTGCTGTCCTTTTAATTTAAGTTCTGGTGGCAACAGTTTCCTTTATTATCATGTTTGCTGTAGCTTTAAACCAAATCTCTTGTGATATTTGTTTTGCCCCACTGGAACAGAAGCTATAGGTTCCATACTAACTGATCCCTAACTTATTATTAATCCTTACAAATAAAACATTTTTTTTAAGTTGGTCAACAATTTTTTTGTGTTCATTTTTTCATTAGGCTGGATTGAAGTGTTTGTGAAAGGTCATATCCCAAAGGACTCTTTTTTTGGGTTGAATGTTGAAATTTAGTTTTTTTTTTTTTAAAAAACAATTGCAGAAATTTTACACTAATTTAAAAAAAAAGCTTTAAAAATTTTCTAACAGAACACTTGTTTTTTTAATCAAAATAAAAAATGATTTAGAAATTGGGTTATGACCAGTACAGTATTTAATCACATGAAGCAAACTGGTGTGGAATAGTGACCATGAGTGGTCCATGCTCTAAAGAACCCATTTTCTCATTGAGAGAAATAAATCATCACACAGGCAAGACAACTTTATATCAACATTTATTAATTACAACAAAGTGGAACAATCTATGCATTCCAATAAAATAAAAAAAGGACAAGCAGAATGAATTCCTTCTGATCTTTCCATTATGTACACTAATAAAACCCGACTGACATCTAAAATCTCCAAATTATGTTAACAAGTAAAAATCTTTTCAATACATACAGAATTACCTCCCATTTATGTAAATATGATTGAAATGAGACTGATGAATGAAGAATTTTACATTCAAAATCATACAAATGTAAACAAAAACTTAACAACAACAAGCTCTACTCTTGATCCTGCTCAGCGTCGCCCCCTCCCTCATCATACTCTTCTTTGGCTTCCCCCCCTTCTTTTTCCTCACCAGACTTATCTCCCTCTGCAGCTTGTTCAGCTTCTGCTAGCTTCCTGCTCTCTTCTTCCTGTCTTTCCCTGGCTGCCTCTCTATGAGCTCGGAGCTTCTTCCTCTCTTCCTGCTCTGCTTTCTTATTCTCATCCCTAGTGTTGGTTGTGGCATAATTAATACCTTCTGGTACAGGAATGCCCAGAATTTTCTCCATCTGATCCAGCTTCAACCACAGACAATTTGATGAATCTTTGCAGATATATGTGGAGAACTTGTTAATAAACAGTAGACCTTCAATCTGGAAAACAGCAAGATCAAAATTAAGAAACAGTGGATTTTCTATAATTTGTACCACACACCTGGGTTTGTAAGATTGTGTGCCAATGGAAGGTTGAGGTGAAATAATAATAGCAGGGGTGCCCACCACAAAAAAAATGTTTTCAATAACAAGAGCATTAATTTTCTGTAATATTGTATACTCTGCATAATTTTTAATATTTTTCACACTTTTAATACAAGGTAAGAACTACCAATCACAAAACATTACTCAACATGCTCTGATTTTTTTTTAAAGGAATTGACTAATTGTGATATGAATTTAGATCTAGCAAGATCCTCGCAGGAAAAACTGAAAATTTAAGGATATAAGTATAGAGTGTAGCTTAAGATTTTAAACCTCATTATTGCTTAAAATTAAAAATTACATTTATTTCCCTTTAATCTGAAACAAAATTATAATTATCAAAATAAATTGGTAGCCTAGAAATAGCTTTTTGAAAAAATTTATTTGTTATGAAATGCTTACGAAGCCATAGTTATTATAGTGGGTTAATTTTTCAGGAGTGTTACTCAACTGACAGATCAGCACAAATGTGTTGTCCTGCTGACTGACAAATCAGCACAAATGTGTTGTCTGATGGAGTAAGTAAGACAACTATCGCAAATTGGAATTTATTCTATGAGGGTATACCCTAGACCTACACTAGTGATATCTAAAACAATGTGAACTCCAGTGACCCATCAACTTGTATTACTATTTTTCTCCCACTCACAGGGGTAACAATGTTACAAATTTACATTTTGTAAAATAATTCTTTTTAAATATTTTTTTATTTTTTCAAAAGGTAACCTAAAAATATCTAAAACAATAAAGACCAAAAAACCTCTGAATATTTTTCTAGAAAAAAAAGTGGTGATAAAGGTTGAATTATAATTGAGATAATGTTCATGCGTGGCCAGTTTTTCAATAATTTAAAATTTATAACATTCATCAATCAATGGCCCTAGAACATTCACGGGGTCTATGAAAGTTGACAACAAAGACATAATGACTCCCTCCTGCCACGACATTGAGGGGAATGAATGGTGGAAGGTGTATTGATACAGGTGGATGCTTGAAAACAGTAACAGTAACGACAACTGATACTTTAACTAGCTTAGGCTAAATATAAAACACCATGGAAGCAAAAGTTGCCAAAAGGAAAAAATATTGTAAATTCATGCTAATTGTGTAATTTACGTAACATGGGTGTCAAAATCACAGACAAAACCGTTAAAGTAGGCAGCCCTGTAAGAGTGACCAATCATTAGTTTTGTAACCATTGTGTTATAGTTATGGTGGACGCTAAGTTTTGATACAGCAACAACAGAAGTAGAGCTTAGAGTAATATATTATTTTAACAGTTCTATGACTCTACCTACCTTGTGTTCTGTAGATTTTAATGCAGTTTCCAAGTTGGACCGTGAATATGGAAGCTTTGGCAGTAACTCAAGTGGATACTGGGAAGAATAAAATGATAGATCTAAGCATTTTAAATAAATCTATAATATAACTTAAAACATGATATTACATTTAAATAATATAAAGTATTTGGGGTCCCAGAGAAATTAGCAAACAGAAAACTACGCTAACACAAACTTATCATGCTGATACAGTTTCATTTTGTATTATTTTGCTGAAAATATTTTATTTTGTACATGTCATTCTTTGCAGGTGTCTATAAATGCTCGACTTAAGAAAACAAAAATGTTTTGTGCGCAGTTTTCCGCTGCCTATCTTTACGGTCACCAGTACTTCATACTATTTATTTTGTTGAAATGTCATCTAATTTGGAACCAACTTTTTATGGTATACAAAAACATATTATCAACATTAACTATCTACACAATCCCTATTTTACTGATTCTCACTTTATTTTTAGATCAGGTTACCAGGCTGCAAAAAAAACTTTTAACGATGGACTCAGAACCTAATACAATTTTATGCTTAAGAGACAAATCAGTAAATCTGCTAGCCTACAGAGGTGAAGAAAACAGGCAAAGCACTACTGATTGTATTGTAAGTCAAGATATAACAATTAGACAGCCACGAGTTTGTAAACAATCATTTATCACACTTACTTCATTGTTTTCTGTAACAACTGATGGTTCCTTTAACTGTGAAAATTTATCTGGCAAACAAAAGAACCTGAATTCTGCCTGTTGTATGGAAAAAAAAACTTTTCACTTGAGAATGGCATTTGAAAATTCTAGTTGTTAATTGTTTCATTAAAAAAGTATTGATGAAAAAGGAATTAACTTTGTTGAAGTAATAAATTTAAAAGATTTTTGCCATTTATATAAACAGAAAGCAAAAGGATGTTAAATTTGAAAAAATAAACTTTGTCTCATTATCATAAATGTCTGATTGAGAATGTGATTAAAAATACATATTGCTTATTGTTTCATAAAAAGTTTTTCAAAAAAGAAATCTATTATCTCAACATAATTCTATGGTGTTATTGCAGATGATGTAAAGCATTATTTGGTACTGTTATACTATAAATGAAAAACACTTGCCTCAGTATCATAATAAGGATAATGTTTCCAGTGAAGCAAATCAACAACATAGAAGCGCTTTTTTTCAGGGCTATACACTGTGTCTAGGATGGTTATATCTGGAAATGAACATCGCAAAATAAAATGAAATTACCTATATTATGTTTAAAAAGAAATATCATTTGCAATTATTAACTAACAGAGTCAATGGCTAACCAAAATTAAATTGATTGATGCTAAAAAAATAAGATGTTTTAATGTATGGACATATAACGTAGAAAGGGTTTAAATAAAACATGTATTTAGTGCTCTTATTGTTACTTTGTGTTCTTGACTTGAGGATAGATAAAAGTTAATTATAAATGTATTCTTGGCTCTGATGCTGTGTTGCAAACAGATTGCTCTGACATTAGCCTATATAATATATTGTTTTATCCAAAAGGCCTATTGCTTAATATTTTAAAATATTAGGGCCTTATAATAATAATGTTTTTTTAGGAGTAGTATTGCTACTTAAATTAAGTATACTCAAATGAGATATTACATTAATCCAATAATTGTCGTCATTTTGACCAAAAAACAGTGGTTTTATAGTTTAATGCTTTTGGTCCATTGTTGTTTTCAGCTATGATTAGGCCTACTGAAAAATAGCTTTCCAAATACAATTTTAGGTGGTTTTGAATTTTTTTTTTATAATTTTTGTTCAATAAAAAAATAAAAGAACATTCATATAGTACAACTTATTCTATACTCTAATATTGTTTAAAAATTGATTTTTTATAAATTGTGTTCTAAGCATAGCAAAGTACTGGTACTGCTAAAATGGCAAAAAAGGACACGGACAAGGTGGGACTTATATGTGCCCAACAAGAGGCTGATAATAATTAATTGCTAAGAATAAAAATTATTTTAACATCTTCCGCAATTCAAATTTGTAACTATCCAATTTATTTTTGACAAATAGGTTTATTTAATTTTCTATAATTATTTTCAATAGTTAGCATTTTTTTTTTAGAAATTTCTCATGTGTTATTAGAGCACGGAATTTAGATTAAAAATTATTAAAAAAAATGTAAACTGACCATCATATTTGTGAACCTCAGTAAAAAGCTCACTCCCACTGGGTAGACAGGACTTGAACTTTAAGTCTACAGCTCCTGCATTATTATATGACTGTGTGATGTCCTGTAAATCAAATTATTTATTTATATTAAAATATTTTTTTAAAATATACAAACTCTTCCTGAAACTTTTGTGGCCAGAAATTCAGATTTAAGAACAGAATTTTGTTATAATTATTCCTATTGGCAGTAAGTATCAATGAACTACAATTGCTTTTAATTAATCTGCTTCGATCCACTCAGAACACAACTAATGGTAACTTCACATGTTTAAATAAGATAGATTTAAAAAAAAAAAAGTATTTATAGTACTCACATTAGCTGCTACTAATACCCTGCGTTTTCCAGGTGGACACACAATAAACAACCATTCTTCTTCAAACTTCTCTGGTGGTGACTCCATGAAGAGTGATTGCATAAGCTAAAGAATAAAACTTACTGTTAACACTTGACATTAAAATGCTGTATTAGTTTAAGTTCATTAATAGTTTATTTTCAAAGTTTTTTTTTTTCATTTTTACTAAATTACTAATAACTTAAGAATTTGAAAGAAAAGAATGCTGAATCAAGAAAGCATCGAACACTACAGGTTGAAAAATTTGTTTTAAGCAACTTAAATTTCAGGCATCAATTTTAGACAAACAAAATAAAGCTAAACAATAAAGTATCCCATTCTTAAGCCAGATGTATATATTGTCCTATGTTATACATTAATAAAAAATGTACTCAAAAGACAAGTTAAGTTTGTTATTGTTCAACTTTGATAACCAAGATAAATTTAGTGACAACATTCTTTTACTCACTCCATGACGATCAGATTCAAGCCAGTTATCTTCCTCTTCCCTGAAACGTTTGTTCCCATAATCTCTGTCTCCTCCGCTGTATTCTCTTTTGCCACCTCTACCCCGGTTTCCTCGCCCGCCACCACCTCCATATTTCCCACCTCCACCTCTTCCACCTCTCCCTCCGCCGTTGTTATCACGTCTTCCACCACCTCCTCCACCACCACCACCACCATATCTATCATTGTCCCTTCTATTTCTGTTATTATCTCTGTCTCTGTCTCTGTCCCTGCCTCCGCCATAGCCACCTCCTCCATAGCCACCACCACTGCCTCCTCCGTATCCACCTCCGCTGCCACCCCCACCTCCATATCTTCCATAACCTCCATCATAACTTCCATAACCACCATAGCCATCACCATATCCTCCGTAGTAGGACATCTTTGATTCTTTTTCTATATACAAAAACCTGAGAAAAGGAAAAAGTCAAATATTTATTTAACGATACAACATACACATGTTTTGATAAAACTGAAATTTTGCTCATCAAAATTTTTATTTCTTATTTCTGTACTAACACCTTTTACTTTAGCTATCTAACACAAACATTTTGGACTTTTACAGCCTAAGGTTATCCTTTTATTGCGATGTGAAACATGGTAACCCCCGGCAAATTTTCACACTACTACGCGGACAGTGGCTATCTTCAGGCGGGTATTACATCATTTATTGTCAGCGAGGCACCATAAACTATACATCAATCTATTGGCCAAGCACTCGTGTACCCGCTCGTGTAGTGACTTTTTTCTTTGTTCTACAAATAAGTTGGATAAACGTTTTCTACAAAGTAAAATTTGATATGAAACTCCATATAAGGGCATGTGCGTAAATATAATGAATGGGAAAAGATTCATTGATACACTTGGCAAATCGTTGAAGTAATCATTAACAATACACATGTGGAAAAATAAGCCGACAGATGAAAGAAAGTCCTACAGCAAAAAACAAAAAGCCACAAACCACAACAATGTTCCAACATTTCTTTTAAAATTAATTTTTCTACCAGGTTTAATATACATAGGGACTACTCGGAATAAGCTTATTTTCCCCCACAGCTAGTCTGGCCGACAGAAGATGCAACATGCAATGACCTTAATAGATGCGCAGTTGGTCTCAAATTAATGAAATTATTCTTTAAAGCTGTGCAATGGTATCAATTTTGTTTTTAGCCTTATTCATCTGACAAAACTAGCTGTACCATGTGTTCGTCGAGCAGTTGCGCTTCAGGCGGGCTTTCATGGAAAGAGGGTTCATAGTATTAGTATAGTTATAGAAGCCTATACTATATGTAGTAAAGAGTTTAAGCTAAGTAGGCCTATAAAAAAAATAATTTTAAATCTATTTTATTAGCTTATTTAAACCTATGAAGTATTTATCGAGTTAATCCCTGTCTCATCAATACAACACATATTAGGCTAAACAAACATTTAGATAAGAAGAAAAAACTGGTCATTGTAGCCTTATGACCATCTACTTCTGGCTAGAATTGGTCTTTAAACAGTAACAAAATAATTTGAGGCTGCTGTGTAAATTATCTTGTGTACTAATGTACTTTTACTTATTTATTGACAAAGTCGGATTATTAATATAAACCATTAGCCTAATGCTTTTACTTTTAAGCCTAGAGTTTATACATATGTGACTAAAAGCATCATCCATGTTTATAAAAACCCAAAATTTTACAATTCTGGACAAGTAGACTAAATCAAAATATTTCTTAATACAAATTTGTGATTTTTATTCTGTGACTCAATTTCTGTGACTTTTTTTCCTAATTGACTTTTTTCCATTCACCAGCTACACTGGCACCTAATCTTGATGCTAGATCTAGATAGATATCTAGTAGAATACTAGAATCTAGATTCTAAAATCTTGATTTATGTCTGGAGAAAGTCATGATCAAGATTTGAAAAAGTCTAGAACTAGACTAATCTAGATACTAGTCTAGCCTTAATTCTAGATTTAGAATCTAGATCTAGGCCTACTTCTTTTCTTCTTCATCTTAATAAAGTAGAATCTAGATTTAGACTAGATCTATACTAGAATCTAGATCTATACTCTATATTATATAGATCTAGGCCTAATCAAGTATGACAAGTAGGCCTACAGTTAGTTAGTGCTTAGTAAAGTTAAAATTACTGTGCAACTATACGGTAGTTTACTACTACTACTAGACAGGGCCTAGTGATTAGACTCTATATCAGTGGTTCCCAAACTTTTTTTTTTTTATATAAAAAGTGACCAGAGACCCCCCATAGAATGAAAAAGTTGAAATTAGTGAGGAAATTTAAAAACACTAAAATACGATTTTGAAGTAGATTTTCTCCTATTGTGTGTTTTTTATTTTTGCTTGAAAATTTCTAATGCGACTTCATATGATGCTTGCACTAATGCTGTGTGTTCTTGGTGAAAACTTCCTGTTCGATGAAGTCTTGACGTTTGCAATTAGCTTCATGCAGAAGAAAGTACTCCATATCTTTTTTTTGTGTGTTCCGAACGACTAGTCACAAAATGACGTTTCAGCTTTTGAAAGCTTCATAGACTCATGACTAAGAAAAACTGTGCACAGTGGACCTAAGCATTGTTTATATTTTTTATTCCCTTTCCACTGTCTGTGATGTTAGTTAAGGCCAAATTTCAGATATTCTTCTAAATATTTATGCTATTATTTTGATTGCTAGGGTTTAGTCTACCAGTTGGCGACCCCCTAGTAAACCCTTCATGACCCCCAGTTTGGGAACCCATGCTCTAGAACTCTAGATCTAGGATTAGATTCCTTGATCGAGATCTAGATTATTCTAGATTGAAGATTCTATCTAGATCTATCTATTCATTCTAATAGAATTTCTATTCTCCTAGAATCTAGTCTAGATCTAGAACAATCTAGCTTCTAGATCTAGAATTAGTCTAGCTAGATCTAGTCTAGATCTATTCTTTAGACTTTAGTTAGATCTAATCTAGATTCTCTCTAGATCTTGATCTACTCACTGACTCAGACTGCCACTGCAGTGAAGTCTTTTCAAGAATTTTGTGACATGTCGCCAATGTGTACTGTAGACTCTAGAATAGATCTAGATAGGCTATAGAGGGCTAGATCTAGATTAAGATCGATTTAATTGTCAGGCCATTAACGCATATGCTATGACGCATGGGCTATGCCGCATTAACAGGCATTATATAACCATAGATATTAGATATAGAATCTAGAGCCTAAGCAAAGCAGCAGAGCTGGTTGTGTTGAAGAAAGTTGGCGGCCATTGCACGAGACATGAATACAGGACGGCTAGACAAAATACAAAGCATTTTAGATATATTTCTGCAATTTGAGTGCAAAAGCAAATATGCTCATAGAAGAGTAAACAATGTTTTGTCTTTTGCATTTATTAAAATATTTACCTTTTATTATTAACAAGGTTTATTGAATTAATTTTAGATCGGTATTTTGGTTCTAATCTAAAAGCACATGAAATTATTTCCGCTGGAAACGAATACGTGAATTATTCCCCTTCGGTCTCGTTCTACCGCCAATCTAGCAGAAATAAGCAGAAAATGATGACGTAAAAATTGTGTTGGGCTAAAAATAATATTTTTTGTTAGCAATAGATTTAAGCCTAGTAATAGACTCTAGAGCTCTCTCTATGTGCAAAACAATAATGATGTTAGTCTTTATTATTGTGTAAATAACCTGAAGCGAAAGCGATCTAAAAGGTTATTATTAGGGGCCTAAACCGTTAATACATGTCTATAGCGCTTTGTCATACAAACAATAATTTATGTTCACAATGTCTGTAGCTTATCAGCCCTATTTTTGTCTCAAATTCTAATGTCTGTTTTGCCTAGCATTTTAATTAATCAATAAAAAATTAATTAGGCATCTAATTAAGTCAAATTTATTGTCAGATTGCATTGTCTTTATATGTCTTTACCGTACTATACTTATAAGGTGAACCATCGGAAGGGGTGGACAATGCTAAAAGTATGTTTTCTATACAAATTCCATTTCGTTCGGGGGAGGGGGGGGGGAAGGACGGCATACTTTCTTTGGGGAGGGGGAGTGGAGACGATAGACTTTCCGAAGCAGAGGCGTAGCGAGGGGGGGGGGGTGGAGGGTGCGGACCGCACCGGGTGACACCATTTAGGGGGTGACACCAAGGCAAAAAAAAGCAAAATATATAGAGAAATACTTGAGGGGGGGGTGCAAATCGAAAGTTTGAGGGGGGGGGGGGGTGCAAATCGAAAATTTGAAAGTTTGTCCCTGGGAAGGGTCGCTACGCCTCTGGGGGGTGACACCATTAAGTACCGCACCGGGTGACACCCGACCTCGCTACGCCACTGTTCCGAAGAGATACCCGGAAGAAACTCAGATGTCAGTAGATCCTACAATTAGTTCCTGCTTGACTGTGGTATTTCGCTGGGTTCTATGGAGTAAAGGGACTCCATAGATGATAGCCAGTCCGGCCATGATTCTTCACTGTGTCTTCTTCTTCGTCTTCTGTCCTGTAGTCTAGGAGGGCGCGCCAGTAGTTTTCTATTGATCACGTTGAGCACATTGACGGCGGTACGAATTACACCCGGGTACTCATTACCCGACTTACCCTATTGGTTATGTGTATTTCTTCATGAATGTTTTTACACGTTTTGTCATTAAACCTTTTGAAAATATCGAGACCTCAGGATTTGTCTTAAAAACGTTTGTAATTATATAGAGTGCCCTGGTATAGTGTGTAATACAAATTGTATTTGAGATGGTTTTCAACATGTAGTAAAGATTTAACATTCAATGTAATTTTAATATTTTGTAGTGTCTCCCTGTCGTTTTGAACCCATATTTGAAAATCTGTATATGAATTACCCATGGAGAACTTCAGAGCAACTAGATAAATTGCTTTTTGATCCAAGACTAATTTGAACAAGGTTATGACAGTTAAAATCATTGAATACTTGTGGATGTTTTAATTTAAAAACACCACTGCGAGTTACAAATAAGGCATATCTAGCCAATATTTGTAATATTTAGCAGCAAGCTTAGTAAGGTTTAATGAACCGCTGGTAAAGATTAAACTATTGCAAAACGGGAAAAGGTAGGATTTTTTTTTTACCTGCGTGTATGTATGTGTGTATGTGTGTGTGTGTGTCCATGCTTGTGTGAGTACAATGTTCAATGAAGCTGACAGTATAGGTTTATATCTTTAATACCTAGAACAGTTTGCAGTAGTAGCTACTAATCTATTGGTGTACTTACCAATAAGCTAGGCAACTTCTAACTTACATGACTAAAGACCAGATTATCTTATCATCTTTTCCCTTTCGTGCCCAAGACACATGGGACCGCCCAAGAAAGCTATTTCCACTTTTGTCGGTCTCTGGCTAGAAGCGAAGTTAGGGGAGGGCGGAGGGGGGGGGGGGGGGGACGACAACACAAAATTGTAAATCGCCGGAATGAGTAGCTAGAGCTACGTCTCTTGCTACTTTCTTTGCAGCTTCCCATGCTAGTCCGGCTCTTGCTGAGTGCCACCACGTCTCCCTAGGCTTTCCCTGATTTCTTCTTCCTTGGGGCATCTAGTTTAGCGCCGTTCCTGTAGTCTATCTCATAATATTCCATACTTTTATTTATATGAAATAGGATCAACGTGTAAGGGACATTTATTTCAGTTCATACGGTACAAGATTCAACATAGATATTCTACAACACAAGTGGCCATAAATAGATCGAGAAATTTATTCAACAAAGTTTGACAAAAATATAATCTAGCTTTTTTAATCCGTTAGTTGTATTGAAGAAAAAAACCTTGTAACATATAATCAACTGTACTATATGTCATATATCTATTGTATTATATGTCATATTACTTTAAATACAATGTACTGTAGTAATCAAGTAATAGACTATCTTATCCCATGCATATAAATTACGTTCATGCACTTCAATTTTATTTGTACGTTTCCTCTTTCATTGGCTAGTTAACTCTGGTCTTCACTGTTTAACACAAATTATTGAACAAAGATACATTAGAAATCTTTCATCAGAGCGCCAATTTACGTTTCGTCTTTCTCAAAATTGTGAAAAAATAGTCCTGAAAAAAGAAAAAGAGTTTTGTTGTATCATAATACAAACCATATGCGTGTATATCAACTTTTATCACAATACAAAACAGATGCGTGTATATCAATTTGTATCTCAATAAAAAACAGTTGCGTGTATATCAACTTTTATCACAATACAAAACAGATGCGTGTATATCAATTTGTATCTCAATAAAAAACAGTTGCGTGTATATCAATTTGTATCTCAATAAAAACAGTTGCGTGTATATCAACTTTTATCACAATACAAAACAGATGCGTGTATATCAACTTTTATCATAATACAAAAACAGACGCGTGTATATAAACTTTTATCATAATACAAAACGCATGCGTGTATATCAACTTTTATCAAAATACAAAACAGATGCGTGTATATCAATTTTTATCACAATACAAAACACATGCGTGTATATCAACTTTTATGACAATACAAAACAGATGCGTGTATATCAACTTTTATCACAATACAAAAAAGATGCGTGTATATCAACTTTTATGACAATACAAAACAGATGCGTGTATCGCAACTTTTATCACAATACAAAACGCATGAGTGTATATCAACAACTTCAACACCATATGAGATGTGTTTCTATCAACGTTTAACACAACAAATGACGTTAACAGTTGTACAACTGCCGTGAGTTTTGACAATGACATGCCCTCTCACCTGCAATGCAAGCGGTCACGAAGCAAGCCACGTTGCCTGCGACCATTGCTCTGAAGACCAGCTTGGACAGGATTGTCTGACGATTAGGTGCCATGGCAGACAGGCTGCCCAGCACGATGCCCATGGAGCCGATGTTGGAGAACCCGCATAGGGCATAGGTGGCGATAACCTCTGACCTTTGCTGAAACAGGACACAACCCACGTGATGAGGTTGTAACGGGTTGGTGTACACCCGTCTTGTCGTCACGCTTCAGTGACGACCAACCCTGTCTGGCTTACCTCGGTCAAACATGGCATAATCATACGTCACTGCTAGCCAACCCACAATCACACACCACTGCCAACCAAACCACAATCACACACCACTGCCAACCAAACCACAATCACACACCACTGCCAACCAAACCGCAATCACACACCACTGCCAACCAAACCACAATCACACACCACTGCCACCCAAACCACAATCACACACCACTGCCAACCAAACCACAATCACACATAACTTTTAACCAAACCACATTAAAAAATAACTTTCAGCCAAACCACAATCACACACCACTGCCAACCAAACCACAATCACACACCACTGCCAACCAAACCACAATCACACACAACTTTTAACCAAATCATAATCACACATAACTTTTAACCAAACCACATTAAAAAATAACTTTCAGCCAAACCACAATCACACATAACTTTCAGCCAAACCACAATCACACATAACTTTCAGCCAAACCACAATCACACATAACTTTCAGCCAAACCACAATCACACACCACTGCCAATCAACCCACAATCACATGTCTTTCGACAAACTCAATAACAGCCAAATAACCTACAACCACACATAACATCCAACCATCTCACAACCACACAGAACTTCCAACCATCTCACAACCACAAAACCAGCCAACCCACAACAACCAATCACTACCAACAAACCTACAACCACCCATCACCTAAAGCCAACCCTTTACCACCCACCACTACCAACCAACCATTAACCACCCACCACTACCAACCAAACTACAACCACCCATCACTACCAACCAACCTACAACCAGCCATCACTGCCAACCAACTTACTGATATTATCCCAGCAATCAGTCGTGAACTATTAGTAAAGTCGCCCAAGATGATATCTTCCCCTACAAAATGTATGGATCCTGGTCCATTCTCTCTCAGGTATTTTTCGTAGGCCTGGCGGTTTTTGATCAGTTCCGCTAGTTTCCTGGACATTAAAATATACGTCTAGACACCTCTGCTCACTAAGGTAACTAGATACTGTATATGGTATTGAGGTCTAAATACCTCTGCTCGCTAACTAGATACTGTATATGGTATTGAGGTCTAAATACCTCTGCTCGCTAACTAGATACTGTATATGGTATTGAGGTCTAAATACCTCTGCTCGCTAAGGTAACTAGATACTGTATATGGTATCGATGTCTAAATACCTCTGTTCGCTAAGGTAACTAGAAACTGTATATGGTATTGAGGTCTAAATACCTCTGCTCGCTAAGGTAACTAGAAACTGTATATGGTATTGAGGTCTAAATACCTCTGTTCGCTAAGGTAACTAGAAACTGTATTTGGTATTGAGGTCTAAATACCTCTGCTCGCTAACTAGATACTGTATATGGTATTGATGTCTAAATACCTCTGTTCGCTAAGGTAACTAGAAACTGTATTTGGTATTGAGGTCTAAATACCTCTGCTCGCTAAGCTAACTAGATACTGTATATGGTATTGAGGTCTAAATACCTCTGTTCGCTAAGGTAACTAGAAACTGTATATGGTATTGAGGTCTAAATACCTCTGCTCGCTAAGGTAACTAGAAACTGTATATGGTATTGAGGTCTAAATACCTCTGCTCGCTAAGGTAACTAGAAACTGTATATGGTATTGAGGTCTAAATACCTATGCTCGCTAAGGTAACTAGAAACTGTATATGGTATTGATGTCTAAATACCTCTGCTCGCTAAGGTAACTAGAAACTGTATATGGTATTGAGGTCTAAATACCTCTGCTCGCTAGGGTAACTAGAAACTGTATATGGTATTGAGGTCTAAATACCTCTGCTCGCTAAGGTAACTAGAAACTGTATATGGTATTGAGGTCTAAATACCTCTGCTCGCTAACTAGATACTGTATATGGTATTGATGTCTAAATACCTCTGTTCGCTAAGGTAACTAGAAACTGTATTTGGTATGGAGGTCTAAATACCTCTGCTCGCTAAGGTAACTAGAAACTGTATATGGTATTGAGGTCTAAATACCTCTGCTCGCTAAGGTAACTAGAAACTGTATATGGTATTGAGGTCTAAATACCTCTGCTCGCTAAGGTAACTAACTGTACATGGTATTGATGTCTAAATACCCCTGCTCGCTAACTAGATACTGTATATGGTATTGAGATGTTTGAAAAAAAGCGTGCGCGCGGCTCTATAAATAAAATACTTAGCGAAGTACAAACGCACTCGTAGGCAATAAATTCGTTTGTGAATGTCTTGATGCCAACTAGCTCAGCCATGCGCCTGCAATCCGACCATTCAGTTCCCATGAAAACGGCGACAGGGTAGAGAAAGTACGAGCAGAGCATCTGAAACAGCCATGAAAGGGTTAGGTTTTTTGGTGTGTGTAGGAAATAACGTAATAGGGAGCTCTGTTGCTCCTATGTCTACATAATACGTTGAAATAACACTATGTTTTATTGGGTAGTAATATTTGTTTTACAAACTGATGTTGCTTAGTAGGCTATCTGTGTGAAAATGTAGTGTTTTTTACTAATAATTATGAGGGTAAAAACACACTTAATCAGTACATTAATACTGATGTTAACATTACTACTTCCAAACAAGATCAATGCCATCTTTAGAGCATGCACACGTTAGCTAGGAGACTCGAACATTTGAAGTCTAATATAATTGCCCAATATAATTGTAAACTTCATCATAAATCCCCAGTTTGATTGGCCGAAAACTGTTACGCCTGTTGTGCGAATTATGGGTTATATGCATGCAGATGTAGGTGGCGCTGTGTGGAATCGGCGACCCCCTTCGTTTCCTACTGTCTGCCTGATGGTGTGATACATGTGATGGATGGCTACAGACCTGGCAGTGTTATCAACTCCAAGTGTGAAGTCTGCAGATTTTGCCTGAATTATGCGTGTTGTTAACTTGAAATGAGGTGAAGATACATAGTCCTACATAGAGTTAACTCTTTCAGCCTCATATACATGTTTTCGTTCAACTACCCAGTTATTATTCCTCCTCCCTCTCCGCTCTTACATAGTGGCCTAGCGGTAGAGAGCTAGACTGCTAACCCGTAAGGCTCGAGTTCGAATCCGGTTTCAAGTTAGTAGAGCGTCCCTAAGTCCACCCGGCTATGGTGGATACCTAACTCACGTTAGGGAAAGTAACCACACCATCCCTTCATATGCCGAGGTCACAGAAACAGATGAACTCTACTTCATATGCCGCATAGGCCGTCAGGTTTGGACTGGGAATTTTACTTAACTCTCTCCTCTATCTTTCTTATCCATATAAATATTTGCAACTCTACGATGTTGGCGTCCATAAGCAGAAGCAAAATTAACATTAAGTCCCTATTTCGCCCCTGCAAGTCCTTCTATGTCTTTATCTATTTCTTGCCTAAATGTTCAAGCCGGCAAAGCTGTTTCTCTTACCTCAAACGACACGTCTTCTAATCCCACTCTATCACCAAACCAGGTAAGCGTGGCGTTGATGAACCTCAAGACTGATAAGAAGGCTATCAAGTTGACGAGAATACAGGAGATGATTTTAAAAGACAGCATAGCGCCTTGGATTGCCGCATCAATGATAGAACCTTCTCGACTGGGGAGTACATGGCATAAAGATGATCAGGAATGGTGTGGACTTTACTCGTAGAGTCGCTCTGTGCCCGTAAGCCGATTGCAAAAATGCCGATTGCCTACAATAATTAGATCTCTGTACATGTTTAATTTAATCAGGAGATGCATGATGTAATTTATATTATTTCAATATTTAACATAACGCAAAAGAACAATTTTGTTATTAGTTTGTTGTTTTAGATTGTATTTTATACTTATTTTAAACTGTTTCAATTTTGGGAGCATAAAGTGGGTTTTCCGGTCATTATACTTGCAAATTTTAATCTCGGGGTAGTTTTGTAGTTGCGTTGATAAGAAAGATCAAGTTTAATCTCTTTACATTTATTGGTAACTTCGTTAGCTGGATAAACTAAGATAACTTTCTTGTTTACATACATTAAGTTTGTCACATAGACCGATTAATATCATATAACTGTTCCGGGTTGTACATAAATGGCGCCACGATTTCTTTTACAACTTTTCACGCCCTTCCCATGTTCACATATCGTTAGAAAAAAAGTCAGACCCTTCCCCTTTTAAAATGAAGTCACACCCCCCCCCCACCCCCAAACTGCCATATTGCAAATAAAATCAAATATGTTGTTTTAACTTTATTGTGTATTTTATCCCTCTATAATAAAGGCTATATGTCGCTCGTTGACACATCATAGTGGTCCCATACGTGGGACATGGAAGTAAACAATAATACAGCCAGGCAGTGTTAAGCTGAATGGATTACATTATTTTAAAACACTGTATGTAATGTAGGTAATTCTAACAGACCCGAGTACTCATGTAAGAATAACATTATAGTTTATGTTGTATATCATGGTAGCCTATATGATCAACTTAACAGTTAGCAATATGCCCAGTCTTTATAAACGGCCCTAATCATGAGCTACAAGGATGAGAATCATTGTGTAAGGGAGACAATGCTTGTCATCAAGGGAAAGAGTAGTAGCCCTTTGTGTGAACATAATTTCTAAAAATTGTTTTTGATTAAAGTATTCTCGAATTTAAGGTGTTGTTATGGCTGCCATACTTTAAGACTTCAAATAATACCAATCACAAAACTGATACCCCGTCTGACCCATTACTTGGGATGTTTATTTTTCTAAAAACTAAATAATTGTTAGTGAAAATATAGGGTGGTATAAAAACAGTGTAACGTCACATTATATTTACCTCCCCCCCCCGTCTTAACCGTTAAGCCTGTGAGCTAGACAACCTCACTTCCAGTGACTGGATACATACATAAAGTCTGTCAGCTAGACGTACATGGCTGTGTACATAAAGTGTGTCAGCTAGACGTACATAACTGTGTACATACATGAAGTCTGTCAGCTAGACGTACATGACTGTGTACATACATAAAGTCCGTCAGCTAGACGTACATGACTGTGTACATAAAGTATGTCAGCTAAACGTACATAACTGTGTACATACATAAAGTCTGTCAGCTTAACGTACATAACTGTGTACATACATGAAGTCTGTCAGCTAAACGTACATAACTGTGTACATACATGAAGTCTGTCAGCTAGACGTACATGACTGTGTACATAAATATGTCAGCTAAACGTACATAACTGTGTACATACATGAAGTCTGTCAGCTAGACGTACATGACTGTGTACATAAATATGTCAGCTAAACGTACATAACTGTGTACATACATGAAGTCTGTCAGCTAGACGTCAAGTGACTGTGTACATAAAGTGTGTCAGCTAGACGTACATGACTGTGTACATACATGAAGTCTGTCAGCTAGACGTCAAGTGACTGTGTACATACATTCTCTCCATGTTCTCTATGTCTTCTATCGTCACTTTGGGAACCTCGACCTCGGGGTAACAGATTCGTGTCACAGCGAGGGTGGCGGGGGCGGACATGACAGTAGCGGACAGCAGATGGTCAGCAGGTATCTGTGAAAGGGCAGTTTCATAAAGAGGCAGTTGTCATATTGGTGGCCCGTAACAGTGTTTTCTAGACTCACCAAAAATCTTAGACTCACCAAAAATCTTAGACTCACCGAAAATCTGTGACTCACCAAAAATCTGAGACTCACCCTAAATCTTTCACTCCCCCCAAAACTTCACTCACCCCAAAACTTCACTCAACTCAAAACTCACTCACCCCAAAAATTCACTCACCCCAAAACTCACTCACCCCAAAAATTCACTCACCCCAAAAAATTTCCTCACCCCATAACTTCACTCACCTCAAAACTTCACTCACCTCAAAACTTCACTCACCTCAAAACTTCACTCCCCCCCCCCCCCCCAAATCTTAAGTACGTGCATAAGACGCTCCCCGCTATAGATAAAAAAAAAACTTTCACTCACCCCAAAAATTCACTCACCTTAAAAATTCACTCGCCCTAAAAATTCACTCACCCCAAAAATGGACTCACCTCAAAACTTTACTCACTCCAAAACTCCACTCACCAAAAACGTCACTCACCCCAAAACTTCACTCACCCCAAAACTTCACTCACCCCAAATCTAATGTACGGGCCTAAGACGCTGCCCGCTATAGATCCAAAACTTCACTCACCCCAAAACTTCACTCACCCCAAAAATTCACTCACCCCAAAACTTCACTCACCCC